AAAGAACTCTGAGCACTGATAGGTGATCCCAGGCACCACCAGTCAACTATAACTTTAGTCCCGTTTGAGAACACCACCATTACACGATTTCTGCACTATTATCATGCCTATCTGTCATCACGAGATGCCCTCTCTGCAGAGCACAGACAACCCGAAAGGACAAAGTCTTAGAGGCACACGAAGCGAACGGAGAACCTTTCAGACGAGCTCGAGAACAAAAGCATGCACACACTATCGACTATAGAAGAGAAAAACCTGCACAAGATATAAATGGCCCACAACAACAAAGCAACAAATCTGGCCAAAGACAAGTGATAGTGGAGGTGGTATAAATACTTGCGTGTGCTAGGTCCAGCATCGAGAGACGGAGGAATGAGTCAGCAAGGTGACGCGGGTCAGAGTGCCATGGCCAAAAACCGAGTCGCAACTGTCTGGGAAGTTGACTCTAGCATTACAAGGGCCACCAACAAACATAAAGAACCGTATCTAACTTTTGACAAAATGTGAGACAACACTAGAGGCGACCCGCAAATGGACCCCAGAGGACAGGAGTAAAATAATGTGTCTACGTCACACGACCGTCAAAGGAGGCAGCAGGACCCAGAGTTTAACAGCCAAGTACATCTACCACACCAGCCCACGCCTGCGCTGAACATCATTCTCTGAACGCACCCAATCTCGCTCTGGTGGATCGAGCAAGTGTTGCTCTTGTCCTTAACCATACTATCCAACTACCATGAATCTCCAGCTACCATTTCATATGCTTCACTCTGCACTACTACCAAGACTGTGCGTCACTCCTGAGCTGAAAAATCTCCTTGGTATCCTTCTGCTCCTGTCCCTAGTCTCTGGTGCACCTACTTCAACACGAACTAGATTTAGCGCAGCCCAGTATATATTTTAAGGCGTATCAGTCAGACTATGTAAGTACTACTTCAGATAGCTTATGTAGCGTATAATTTAGCAGCCGAGTACAAAATCCGGATAGTATATGTTAGCTGGATTCTACATGGTCGCAGAAGACATCAACGAGTCGAATTGAGGTATGGTAAAATTCTTCGCTTGTTCCGTAGCACTCTTAACACCAGGAGATAAAACACCAATGCGGCCTCCATCATAAGACTCTGCTGCTAGAGCCCCTGGGCCACCGTGCCAGGAGATCCACCAAAAGTAGGCAAACTCAAACAAACCCCTGTTCAACTACGTCCAATGTTAGCACAGTAGCCTTGAGTTCACTTTTAACAAGAGCAGCTGGGACAGAAGATGTGATAATGTTCAGCAACTAACCGCAATCAACCTTCCTACACAAGTCTAGTTGACCACAGTAGGATTGGATCAGCAAATGCTCCAAAATAAAAAATTATAAGTACCGTTAAGGATGGCTTTTATTTGAGCAGTTTGTGTCCAATCCTCTACTGTCGGGTTCAACTAGACTTGTGTAGGAGGTTGATTTGCGGTTAGTTGTGAAACATTAATCACAATTTCTGTCTCCCACGCTCCTTGTTAAAAGTGAACTTCAAGGCTACTGTGCTAACTGGACTAGTTGAAACAGGGGGTTTTGAGTTTGGCCTACTTTGGTGGATCTCCTGGCAGCGGTGGCCGGGCTCTAGCAGCAGAGTCTTATGATGGAGGCGCCGCATTGGCTGTTACTCCTGGTGTTATAGAGTGCCTACGGAACAGGCAACGAATTTTCACCATACCTCAATTCGACTCGTTTTCGGAAGGATCCTCACCTACGGGCGTTGCTGAAATTAGGATGCTAAGGTAAAAGTGCGTATGGCTTCGTTTGCAGGTGTGAGAGGGGTAGGAGCCAGATGGATGGGATTTTCCAGCTCAGGAGGGAGCTGGAGTCAGGAAGCAAGGAGCCTGGAGATCAGGAAGTTGGGAGTTGGAGAGCAAACCACTGCTGTCCGGAAGTGTCAATTAGAGATTTCAGGCAGCTGCGGTGGGTTGATACTGCCTGTTACACACTCTGGTCCTGCTTCCCTCCTTTGACGTGACTAGACATATTTCTTTGGTCCCTATGTTTTCGTGAATCAGAAGAGTGGAAACCTATTTGGGTGCATGTGAGCGCATTGCTGGCTGCTCTGTGCTGGGCCAGAAGATGTGGTGGGCATACTTGTACAGTGCAAAGCTTAGTCGGCAAGGCTCAGGCGGGCCCTGGCTCTTCTCTTTTCTGTCCGAGGGACAGTTGGTGTATATGAGAATGTTATTAAAGGTGTGGTCTTCAGGGCATATGAGCTGGTGCCTGAGGCCTACAGCAGCGTTTCGCGGCCTGGAGAAAACTCCTGGCCAAACGTATTGCTAGAACTTCACGCGAGGGGAGAAGAAAGTCTTCTCTTTGACAGGTGGTGTAGAGCTTTTAAAGCTGGATGATATTACTTCAGTGTGTGTGAGTTGGTGATGTTGGTAGTTTAAAAGCTGTGTACGGAGCGTACGGGTAGTTTATCTTAACGAACAGAAAGTAACTACCCTCCAGCAGGCTGCCACTCTGGCAGACGACTTGTTTGCACTGATACATAAGAGCGTTTTTGTCAGCGTGATCCTCCTCAGCGGGACACTTTATCATAGAGCCTCCTGGACAATTATGTTCCCTGTTGCCAGTGTTCCAGTGTTGGGATCCCAGGATAGACAGAGCTTGTTTTTTTTTTGTTGTTGACCCAGGTCATTGGGACAGCAGACTGTGCAGTTTTGGAGAGACAGCGGATGGCAAGGCCACCCAGAAGGGGGTGAGATTGGTTACAGCAGTTGTGTCCTAGTTGGACGGGCTACTGTTAACAAAGGGCCATGGTGCTGATGATGAGTTTTTTGAAACCGTTCATCTCGTACTGCCTTTGTCTCTTTCAGGAAAGGTGGAGGACCAGCGGCAGGTCACGGTGTTGCGAGACAGTGGTGGCTAACAGTCATTCATCCTTGCCGGTGCCCTGCCCGTGAGAGCCGAGTCTGCCTGTGATGCGAATATGGTGGTGAGAGGTATTTAAATGGGTTTTGTGCCCGTACATCTTCACAATGTCCATGTCCAGTCTGAACTGGCTACTGGTTTCTTTCCAGTATATAGCCGGAGGTAAAGTGTATCCTCCGAGTAATTATCCTCACTGTAGGGCTCGTAACAGATGTGTCACACGTGCTCATTCTGTTGCTCTCCCAGGTCCCGACACTAAGAGATTGTATTTCTCTTGTCTTGACCCTGGTCATTTAGTGGCGGAGTATGTGGCTTGGAAGAAGCAGGTGGCGGCTTCCAAGCATTCAAAAGTAGGCTTGTGAACTATGTAATGTGTGTTTTGGTAACTTTGGCCAAACACTTGTTTGGTTTTATAGGGGAGGGTGTTACGTGCCGTAGTGTTTGTGTGTGTGTCTTTCTCTCTCTCTCCCTCTTATTCCCCAGGTGCAGCCTGATTGTCCCCAGGTGCAGCCTCTCCCCAGGTGCTCCTAATTCTCCAATCAGGGTCTCCATATAGGACATGAGGAGGGTTGCAGTCGCTCTCTCCTTCTCCCCTGGCTGGATGTGTACAGCGTGGTGTCCATGTCTCCAGTATATATTTTTGTATCTAGATTTGTTTTGCAAGTTGGCTGGTGAGCCCTTTTTCTTTTTGTTAATTAAAAGACCTGCGTATGGCTTCAGAGATTTTCGCTCTCTTTTTTGTCGTGCTTGGTCATCCTTGTGTTTTGGTACTCCTAGACTTGGAGGGAACGTAACAGCCTCTTAAGAACTCAACTGTGCAGTTAGAGGTGCAATGATACTGAAATACAGAACATTCCATGTCAACCTATTATTATGTTTACTTATTCAAGACAAATAATTTGATATTTCTTCCATGAAAGCATACATGGTATCACTTAAACAATGCAACTTGCAGAGATCCCTCTGTCCCCATACCTTTAATGTTTCTTAGATCACTTTTTTTCTCACTGACTTGTGAAGCACCTTGAGATGACGTTGTTTTAAAAGTGCTATACAAATAAAATGTGTAATTATATCATAAAGGTGGTTCGGGCACCTAGTAAGGATGCCACCTGGGTGCCTCCTTGGGATCCCCCAGTCAGAGCTGGTTGATGTGGCCAGGGAAAAGAAAGTTTGGGGCTCTCTGCTGGAACTGCTACCTACCTCCGCGACCCGACCACGGATAAGCGGGAGAAGATGGATGGAATAATAATTGTACAACATTGTGTTTGTATCATTGTAAAAAACCAGTAAACTTCTCCCAAATCTGTGGTACTACCTTGATAAGTTGAAGGGGATATATCATGAAAAACTCACCTCTTCAGAGCTTGTGCACATACAGTACATTTGGGTGTAGCAAACTAGCCTTTTTTTGGGAGGGGTGCTAAAATAGACAGTTGTTAAAGCGGAGGGTTTTAGACAGGGGGAATATTCCATAAGTCAGACATTGGAAAAATAAAGTAATATTTGGACATTAAAGCATTTAAATGTTCGACTGTAGCGGAAACACAAAACAAAAGTATGAACCTGAAAATGAATATTACATGACCCCTTTTAGGTATTTTGGTGTCTCTTGTTACGGAAGATGTTTTAATATGTCAAAATAGGAAAAGCACAGGTATCAATAATTGTGGCTACATTCCATTGACCTCATCATGGAATGTAGCTTCACCTACATAACGTCTGCTGTGTTTTTAAAAATATGTCTTCTGCAAAGTGCAAATAGGCAGAATAGAAAACATTCTCAATAATAAAGACAAGAGACATACTGATTTTATGTATTTTCTTGGTTGCTATTGAGCAAACACTTTAGAGACAGGGGATGGGTTTGGGAGTGGATGGGAAACAATAGGTTTCAAGAATAGAATGGCATTTGTCCACTATACTGTACATATGAACTGTACTGTACAATTACAATTGTTGTATGGCTGTTAAGCAGTGAATGCAGGGATTTTATACACATCCGACATTCTTTACAGAGCTGGGATCCCCTTTGGCTGGAATACGCACCAGCTGATTGGTCCCTTTGATGGCGTTATTTCCCTTGTAAGGGGGAAAAAAGCAGCACAAACTCAAAACACATGAAGTGTTTTTTCTCTTTCACACACATACATACAATCATGCTTTCTCGCTCTGCCGCACACACACACGCGAACACACAGACACAAATCATCCTTTGCCCAAATCCGTACATCTCTTTCCAAGACACTCAAAACAATTTTTAAAATAAAAAGATAAATATTTAACTTCAACTACCCAGCAGAGGCTGGTGTCCCGGCTTTGTACAGTATTTTTACCTGTATATTATATGCTATAAAGAATGTCTGTGACATTAAAATGTATTAAATAAGGAAAAAATGAATTTGTAGTAACAGAGTAACTGCTGCTTACACTGATTGTTATGAACTGTAAACTCATAAAGCAGCTAATTATTGTGAGCTTTAAGTTCACTGTAACATCTGTGACGCCTGATGTTGCCGGATTTCTTCTCATTTATCTTCCGTTTTCCAGGCTCCGTAACATTCCCTAATGCTGAGTGGTCTCCTGCATATTCAACGTTCCCTTTTCTCTGTCCTTCTTCTCAGTGCATCTCCTCTTGGCGCCGAGTAAAGAGCTGCCAAGGCACTGTGAGAGCATGGGTGGCAGTTCAAACATGGAAACACTGTACACGGCGCTTGAGGACACTTCATCGCGGACTTCAGGAAAAGCGAAGCAAGAGTGCTTTGAAGATTGGAAATCAGTTGCCATTACGTTACCTCCCACTGAGAATGTAAACGCTTGCCAGGGAGTTGGAAAGGGAGTGCTTTGGTGTCGCAGTGACCTTCATACCATGAATTCATTATTGCCATACAACACAAGCTGCTGTGGTATGTCTGGAGGGTCCCTGCTATGGCCACTGCCTCCTCTGGAGTGCCTCAGGGAAGAAGGCTTGGCCCCTCTAAGTTTCTGTTTGCCCCTCTCTGGGTTGAATGTGCCTCGGCTGGTAAACTGGGGCCTTTCGCTATGTCCTTCCTGATCTCCTGTAGAGTTGATGTCTAAGCAGTCGGATCGAGAGGCTTGAGATGTATTCTGAGCCTGAGCCTGTTCCGGACCTGAGCCTGCAGAGGGAGACTTGGAGTGGAAACGAAAGCGCCGGCTGGTGGCAGAAGAGGACGAGGACGAAGGTTGGTAATGTGATGAGGAAGAGTAGGAGGAAACACTGGAGTCAACAGAGTCCAGGGACTCTGGCTGCCTGCGGAGAGCACGCCGGCGGGGGCTCGTCATGTCAGACCTCCGAGGCCAGGGGGAAGTCAACACTGGACCTTTCTCTGCAATGAAATGCAAAGACAACGTTTATGTGAAAAATATTTTTTCTCCAGTTGCACATAAAAACTAGAATTACGGCATTACAGTTGTATGCCTCAGCCGACCAGTCAAGTTGCAGTCTACGTCCATGTCTGATCTGGTCATAATTGTATCCTATTTGTATGACAGTTTCATAATTTTTAGGTTATTCAATCTTTAGTTATGGCCAAATATGTGTTTAATCAGGCCAAGGTGACTTTTACCATAGTCCACCAAAATCGAATCATTTCAAATAAAATGATTGATTTTTTTATTTGGCCATTGCTGTTGCATGCACGGAAGTATACAAATAGTAAACTGAAAAATGAATTTAGATTTTGTGCATAGTGCCATACCAGAGAAATCCGAGAAGGTTCCCTCAGAGTCCACATTGAGGTTTTCCGAGCTGTCGGCTGTACCAATAGAAGCCTCCGACTCCAGGGTCTCATCATCTGAGGCTCGTGGCTCCAGAGACAGCATCTCAAAAGTCAACTCCACTCTGCAGAAGAAAATATATCCAGATTAACAAATTAGCTGAACGCACATCGTGAAATACATAATAGTTCTAACACATGCATATTTAACATTTTATTTGACTGAATTCAAATATTTAATGTTTTTAGTATTGTGACAGACTCTTCACAGGGTCTCATTATCCGGAGTTACAACATTTTCAGGACATTTTAAGTGCAGTTGCTGTGTTTACTTCTCTTTCTGCAGGTTTTCGATTTGCTCTGTCAATACTCTCTCTTCCTGCTGCATGGCTGACTGCTGATGCTCGGAGATTTCGGTTAAAGAGTCCTCTCCCTCTTCACAGCCACTCTCCTCTATCACAGGCTCCACCACAGATGGCAGCCGCGGACTAACTGGAGGCGAGGGTGTGTGGTAGCTTATTCGCTGTACATGGCTTTTTCCCTGAGAAACAAAACAAGGGCAGATGTACTAATGTGAATATTACATTTGTGGTTCAGAAAGAAATGAATGATAACAGTTATGCAGTCATACACAGCACATTACACAACTTTTAGCATGCAGCTACTCACAAGCACAGGCAATGACTAAACCAAATGAAATAATCAGCAGAGCAGCACTAGAAGATGATCAAACAACAAGGTAGATGCACAGTGATACACACACACACTTTACCGTTTTAGCTGCAATTGTCTGCTCAGAAATGTGAAAAGCAAAAGAAAGAAGAATCAGTAATGCGAGGTTCTGAAAGGTCATTGTTGTTCTGGTTTCAATGTGCAGTATCAAGGTCTGAAGGAATCCTTCTCGGTTCTTTGAAGTGAAGCTAATACTCACAATATAACTATTATTAAGTACTTGCACAGGAAATGAACTATGACATTTCATTTTGACATTTCTGTCCACAATGTATCCAGTATCCAATTTATCATTCTATATTCATTATGAAAAAGAAAGAGATCTATATAAGCTCTTTATGCAGTATTTGCATATATTATTTCAAGTCATACATTATGTAGAAAGATGTTTGATTTATGTGTTCCATAATCCGATGTAAATCTAATAAGAAGTGATTATATGATTGCATTATCGGCTGACTTCATTCCACAAGACAATGCTAGAAAATACAGAAGCAGAGACATAATGAGTCATGCTTAAGGGATGGAGAAGACATTAAGATGTTCATATTTCAAGCCATGGGACTATGCAGTGATTGGCACCACAACAACATCACCACTGGATGATGACTTGGGGACTGTATACATACCATAGTGCGCATTATGCTCATAAATCTAACAGCTATTAGTACGGGTTTCTGGGTAAAGGAAAGGACACGTTAAGGGAGGAGGATCAGGAGAGGAGAAACAAATCTTACAAAAGGAGGAAATCAGGAAATGTACAGCACTGAAGGAGAGTTTAGGATGGTTCAGTAAGATATAGCCATGAGTAACTGCGAATCTTATAAAAGTTTGATTAGTAATATTTGTCATATTATCCGAGTTTACCATCGATCGGCGAATGTGGGTCAGTCTGCACTTGGCCTTATTCTCTGCAAACTCCAGGCTGTTGATGTCCTTTAGTCGAACTCTGTACTTATTCATCTGTTCACAAATGATAAGTTCGACACACCTATGGAGGGAAAGAAAACCACTTCAGAAGAACGGAAAATTGTAGTTTTGTTAAAGTAATTTAGAAGCAATAGCCTCTCTACAGGCCTTGTATTTTGCCTCAGGTCAGCAGTTCTCAAATTGTTGGAAACAAAAAGGAAATCCCATGAATTTCCTCAACCATTATCGAGGAACTGAGCATCAACACAATCCAATTAAAAAAACATTTTGTTTAAATATTATTATCATGATGTCAGTTATGCTGAAAAATGGTAATCACTTCAGTTAACTTTGGTCTAAAAGTGTTTGTTTGTCGAGCATCATCATTCGTCAATTATCTGTCAAAATTGCACTTCTGCCATCTGAATAAATCTTGCTAAATTGGATCTTGATAGACTTGAATAGATTTTGTTAATTGCTCCCACATGACACACATTCATTTAAGATCCACTGCTGCTTCAAACTTTGTAAATTACTGTCTCGGTCAATTCAAGAGAAGGTATTTGATAGACATGATGGTTTATTCTTACGCTGTCGTCTTGCCGATGTCCTGGACACTCTGCATGGGATCGATGGTGTCAGGACAGCGCAGGATGCAGGGAGCAAAAACTATAGCCAAGGCGTTAGCAGACATCCGATTTGTGTCCTCTTGTAAAGAGACCCTAAAAGCATGAATTTAGTATTATAACAGGCCATCAGGGAGGACATAAAGCAGTTTAATGCATGAATCCTACTATAAGACCAGTTTGTTACCTGACGAGATGAAATATGAGGCGTTCCAGAGTGTTTAGATGAGTTCTGCTTAGCTGGTCAATAACTGAATACACTCCTCGGATCAATTCCTTTTTATCTTGCAAAACTTTGGAGGCACAAGACAAATCATGATTAACCTTTACAGCAAACAAATATATCTTCAGCTGTTCACAATCATAAATTGTACTTGTGACAGAATCTCCAGTGTGGTGGCTTGCAAAACAGAATGGAGTTGGACGTCGATCCCTTACCCATGATCCGTATGAACTCATCATACAGCTCAAATGTCATCAGAGGATTAGGCAGATCTCTCAGCCACTGCTTGAAAACACTAGCGATGACGTGGATGTTGTACTCGTCCAGATTCATGCTGTCTACATCTGCGTGGTCACAAGGAGAATGAAGAAATAACAAACCAACACTTTATCAGTAGTTAGTAATGACATTTGTTCCTATTCATCTCATGTGTCTCAGCTTTAAGGCGAAACAGTAAAGGCTAGTCAATATTTTGATTTTGGTCTATTTTGGCAGATATATTTAGCCATATATCAACCATACATTTTATTTTATGTAAAGCGTCTTTGAGCATTAAGAAAAGCTATAAAAAACCCATGTGTTATTATTATTATTATTATTATTATTATTTTTATAGCCTAATATACAGAATTTCTTTTATAAAAAAATATGGCTAAAATAGATTTTTTATAATTCTTTTAAACGGCTGTGCAAAAAATCTTTTGTTCTAATACGTTAATATAACATATTTGTTATCCTGGCTTTATCCAACAGTGTTTTAACTTGACATTATAATTGCTTTAATTCAGGTTTTTTATTTTTATTGATACCGATGCAATTTGTACAAATGCATATTAAATAACATCACATTTTCTGTATATTTAAGAATAACAATTTCAAAAACTTTAATCACAATAAAATAATTGCATTAATGTAAGTAATCTGCTGGGAAAGTGTCATGGTGATATATATTAGTTAAACAGTTGAGCTCCCCTCCAATGGCCAGCCAAACGTTCTCACCTGTGTCGAGTCCCTGCTTGAGTTCCCTGATTTTGTTGGTGGAGCCAGATTTTCTGTATATTCCTTCAGTGTAGAGGCCATGCATCTCGATGTAGTTGATAAGCTTCTCCACTACCAGGGGCACCGTTCTCTCGTCATTAGTCAGACGAGACACCTCCACTCTGAACTGTTTGGAGGAAAGCTCTGGATCAAACTGTTAACAGACACAAACACAACATAATCTGTTAAACACATAGACATGCTATGTAGACACACGCAGACAACCACACATATTTATATTTGAAAAGGAACCAAATAAATGGTAATATCTAAAAGATTGCTTTCGTCTTTTTTGTCTCTTTCGTCATTGCAAGATTATTTGATTTCAGAAATAACACTATATACTGTTCATACCAGGATTAAAACAATTAGTGTCATGGGACATTGTTTTGCAGGAGCACAATATGGCCGACTGACCTTCTTGCTGCATTTGTTGGTCGTCTTCTGGCAGCACTTTCTGTGGCAGGCGTACCGGCACACTGGATGAACACAACCAGAGAAATCAAACAGGTCATTACCATTATCCACAGAAAGGCAGTGCCTCCTCATAATTCAGCAAAAGTAGTTTGGACAAAAGAAAAAAAAACGTTATTGCTTGAGAAACCAAAGCAGCATTGGCTGGCGTGAGGAAAACATCCTGTGGGAATAAAGAACAAACTGTGTGGGGAAATCTCTGGAGAGACGGCGCCGCAGACCCCATGAGTCCAGTTGAAAACAATCTGATTATGGCCGAGGACAGAGAGAGAGAGAGAGAGAGAGAGAGAGAGAGAGAGAGAGAGAGGGGGTGGGGGGTTCCCCTGGTATACTCTCTCCCGGTAAAGCTCTCTCCCTGGAGAGCTGGGTTTTCGCCTCTGTAAGGTTCTCTCAAACTTTGTAACTATTGCTTAAATCTCTGTGGATTGAATGCTGAGTGAATGGTTGAATGAAAGTTTTTAAAACTAGGATTTCTAACCGATCATTCTGAGGAGCTGACCTCTTAAATGTGTCGGGCTATAGGTTGTGAATGTTAGAACCTTCGATCCATGAGGAAATCCCTCTGGGTTCTGTCGGAATTCAATCTGAACATTTTGAGGAACTGACCTCTTAAATGTGTCAGGCCATAGTGTGTGGATGTTAACCCCGTCGATCTGTGAGGAAATTTCTTTTGGATTTTGTCGGAAGACTTTAAATGTATGAACTATGAATTAAGGTTTTAGATTAGAAAATAACCCCAGCATGATATGTTTACTATGATTATAATGTTGTAACGAGAGAAGGTAAAAACCCTGTATACGTTTGGACCTATTTTTCTTCAAATAAACTGATCCCACCTTTTGGATTGGGACAACTTAAAATACATCTGCGCTCTCCTCTCCTGCTTCAAATGTAAGATTGCACCCTGCCACACTCACACTTAGGTAGGGCCACACCTCATTTACTGATATCAAAATCCATCGGGATCGCTTAAACAGATTTAGAGGGTCGTCTGAATTGAAACAGCAGTTAATTGAACCTGGTTCTTCAGGAGTTGGTAGAGGTGAGATCTTGCTGACGTTGGTGGATCTGAGCAAAGCAGTAAACTTACATAGACTCAATAACTTCTGTTAGGTTAATTAGTAGGTCTGAGTAATTTGCCAGAATAAATGATCAGCCCTCCCGACTCTTACAACATTCCAAAATAAAAATGCGTATAAGATGACTGCATAATCAGATAAGGTAAAGTGAAGCACTTGTGTCACTATGTTTTTTGTGTTTGAGAACTGTGAGTAATAAGAAAGTATCCATAGACTAAAGTTGTATTATATCAATTTATGTCCTGCCCAAGATGCCACTAGTCTCTGATTACAATTTGTTTAGTTTTTCTCTTTTATCAAAGCTACACAATGTACTCACATTGTTGCAAATTATTTAGTCATTAACTCAATCATAAAACAATTCAACAAATTTGGTTCCAACTGATATTCGTCATTGTTTTTACCTGGGCACAGTAGAAAGAACACAGGTGTAACTAAACCACAAGACTACCTTAACTAACCCCCAAAACGTCCTGTATTTGCTGTATTGTTGCGTGAGCACTGGAAACAATAACACAATACAGAGCGTATGAGGCAGAGCCAAGATCTGCTCTGTGTCTGTGAACAGAATATAAGGTGCGACACCGCAGCGCAGCGAGGTCAGGCAAGGTTGAGCTTCGCCAGCCTTCAGCCACTGTGACACTTCACAGGTTTGCTCATAAAACTGGAAAGGCTCCACATTTTCCTCTCTATAACAAGACTGATGTGCCTCTGCCTCAGGACGATATTTTACAGCTTTCAAAGTAAAACTCTAATTATGTATATAGTAAAATGGTAGTTTATGTGTCTGCTCATAATAAAGGATGTCTTCCTGTTTTCTTTTTTCTCTCACCACAATTGAGTTAATATTATCCATCCATCCATCCATCTCCCGCTTATCCGTGGTCGGGTCGCGGGGGTAGCAGTTCCAGCAGAGAGCCCCAAACTTTCTTTTCCCTGGCCACATCAACCAGCTCTGACTGGGGGATCCCAAGGCGCTCCCAGGCCAGCGAAGAGATATAATCCCTCCACCTTGTTCTAGGTCTACCCCTTGGTCTCTTCCCAGCTGGACGTGCCTGGAACACCTCCCTAGGGAGGCGCCCAGGTGGCATCCTAACTAGGTGCCCGAACCACCTCAACTGGCTCCTTTCCATGCGAAGGAGGAGCGGTTCAACTCCGAGTCCCTCCCGGATGACCGAACTTCTCACCTTATCCCTAAGGGAGACACCAGCCACCCTGCGGAGAAAACCCATCTCGGCCGCTTGTACCCGCGATCGCGTTCTTTCGGTCATGACCCATCCTTCATGAACCTAGGTGAGGGTAGGAACGAAAATGGCGCGGTAGACAGAGAGCTTTGCCTTCTGGCTCAGCTTTCTTTTCGTCACAACGGTGCGGTAAAGCGACTGCAGTACCGCTCCCGCTGCTCCGATTCTCCGACCCATCTCACGCTCCATTGTTCCCTCACTCGAGAACAAGACCCCGAGATACTTGGACTCCTTCACATAAACCAATATAATCTTCAATAATAAAAACACATTCTTCCATAATGTTAAACGTGCCTTATGGATTCTGTGAGAAATAACCATTTTAATGCACCGGTGAAAATATGCAAAGCAAATATGAATTGTGTAATGGGAATCCTTCCTCTAATATAGATTATGTGTTGTAAAAGGTAACTTGTTTAAAAAGCAATTATTTACTAACACATTGCGATGTAATGATCCATTTCCTGTCACAGCATCAATTGTATTCAAACATCTCTGTTTTTCTAAGAAAGGATAGTGCATGCAATGAGGTATTTTATTAGTCGTCTGTCTGTTCTATGAATGTATGAATAGTAAAAATATAAATAGTACTGTACACTATAAAGAAAGAAGCTTATAATATTATATATCCTGATCCCTCTCACCTCTATCCCTTCACAGCAGCATTGAAACTACATTCCTGATAGACACGACGTGAACTACTACCGTCTGTTTCAACTCATTAAAAACAACTGTCACTGCTGTCGATTATTCAGCAGGTGATTTACAGGGCTGACTCCTCGCCATTAAAAGAATGAACATCAGGACATAGACGAAGGGAAGGAAATAATGAGAAAACAGGACTGACACCTCTTCCATATGACCTCAGATATTTGTATGTGTGGCAGCCAGCCGTTAACAGTAAAAATGTATAGGTAACATTGTAAAAACCAATCATCTTTTTACAGTCTCTCCTCAGTCTTTCCTGATATCATGTTTGATCTTCTTGTCCGTGATAGTGCTAATTATGGTTGACACTAATTATTAATATTTTATTTTAATTTCATAATATTTAAGACACAAAAGAAAGAAACAGTAGATAGGAGTGGGACACCTGAAAGGCTTATTCAGCCTAGCCAATTAAAATATACATATCAAAATGTAATCTTAACCCTAGTCTGCCTTACATATTTTAAAAGACTCAAATACTTTTTCAGTAAATGTGAAATTAAAATTGCATTTCTTTTCTTTCCTTGCTACTGAAAGTAGTGAGACTGAATCAAAAGTTACGGTCCATAAAACCAACACAATGAACTAAAACATAAACTGTGTGAAACTGCACTTTCGGGTTATAATTATCTATGTGTTTGTGAATCCAAATCACAAAATGAACAGTTTGCCAAACTAAACAGTGATTTGATCCTTTGTCACTTTGAAAATATTGATTACAACAGCTTTAAACAATATGAACAGATTGTCTATAAAGACAGTAACAGCAATTTAAAAGGCAAGGCTTTCATTCATTAGCTCCGCAGTGCTGCTTCTGCTTTTGTCTCATGGTCACTTTATTTCGAGTTATTGAAGTGCATATTGTTCACCAAAACAATCATGTCACAAGTGCTCTTTTATATTTCACATATTTTGAAACAATTATGTACAATATTCTCTATTCACAATATGTTTTGTGAACTTTATGATTGATTTTCAGTACGGTTCTGAATACTGAACCATCATAGTGGAGAATTATATATTTGTCAGTGACTTATTCTGACATTAACCAGATGTTCCACTATTTATCCGTTGCCCTTGAATATGAACGCTTCCTATCCGGAGGCCTTGACCCTTTCTACCTTTTCATTGCTCTCTGCTTTTTTTGAAACTCTGTGATCCACTCTCGCCAACACACTCTCTGATTCTGAATCAGTGTAGCAGGTCTGTTCCCTCTGCAGCGATCATAACACGTGAGAAATACTCTAGGAGGACTTTGGTACCCGTGATTATATCATTCACCTGACACCATGTTATTTTTTGTTGTTTCTCCTTCACTCTCCCTCTACATGTTCCTTGTTCGCTTGTTAGGAAATGCTTCTTCATTTGTTTAGCGTGATTGAGGAGGGAGATGCAGGCGACTCAGTACAGCCTTGGGTAAGAGAGGGACTCCAGTCACAGCTGGTGTGTCGCTCGCCCATAATGAGCAAACGTGACGAGATGAAAGTGTGTAGCGCCTGCCACGTGCCACAGCCCCAGGAGGCACTTTGAGGGAAGCACATTTATAGATATGCATGGGGCTATGCTGTCTGCAAATTGATTATTTTTTGTCATCTATAAGTGGAAATCAAACACAATTACACAGTTGACACAATCGCCCACAACTCTCCTTGGTCTCCCCTGTGTGACTCATCTGAGATAGGTTATTATCCAAGATAGCTGGCTCCTTGTCAGAGGAACAGAAGTGGTCAGAGGTGTTGCCAAACAGTGTCTGAGGATCCAGAACTCAACCAATTTCCACCCTCTGTAAACAGGAGTAATGGGGCATGAAGCCTCCCACAGCCAAGGGCAAAATAACGTCTCTGAGTAAGCAAAGCATTCTTCAGTAAACAAAGTTTATATTCGATGTGGACTGAAAGAACCGATACTCAAATAAAGGACAAGCTGTGAAGTCAGCTGGTGTTTCAAGGACGATAAGATTTTGTGGTTTTGAATATCATATTTTCCCTACAGGATCATGAGCGTTATTATTGCGATTTCTAGATCGAGAACATTTAGAAAAATA